TTCAATTGTGTTATAGTCATGCTATTTACTACCATAAAAATAAACAACTACAGATAAAATAATACATATAATTACTGATTGACTCAAATCTTTCCTTTTTAATTATAATTGATCATTGCATTCATATAAAACTTTTAGTTTTAGATTTAATAAATAGCGAGCAACAATTAAAACCTTTTGAATGTAGTTCAAGGTGATGACCTTGATAACATATATCAAAGTCAAAGTCATCGGGACAGACTGCCCTCATCGATATATTTACCTTAGATTTTTTAAATTATTTTATATTAATATTTTATATTATATTTCTAATGTTAAAAAAATATCCATACTTTATCAAATATTCATTAATATTCTTCACAAAATATTATGTATGATACTACAATTCTTTTCTAATTTATTTTTTCTAAAAAAATACAATTTATATCAATTGCACGTATATAAAAAGCATGATATGATAATGATGCTACAGACATATCTAGATAAAATCTAATGTCTCAAATATATGAAATAAAAGAAAAAATGCAATGACCAAGTCTTTGAATAAGACCCTACACTCCATGAAATGAAAAACTGAAGAAAAATATAAACGACATATTCACACTGCTCTCGTGTGTCCTGTTTGCCATTCAAAATCCATAGAACGCGAAAGAAGGAAAGCAAATAGCTATTGTGACAGAGAACAGACCCGTGACTGTATTGGTGGAGGAGGTATTCCGAGATTGACTACACTGTGTGAGAGCAGAGGAAGTAGCAGTCTGTTCTTGCAATGGTTCCACTTGTTCCTTGTGTGTCCTCTGTTCCTCTGTAAACCCCGTAAACCCACTCGTGTTACTCTAAAGCTGTGCTCTAATGTGTACATACGATTCACCTAGTTTTCTTAAAGTATACAACTTAATGTGCGTGTGCAATTAGTAGTAATTGATGTGTAAAGGTATGGTGTATTAAACAAAATTTCAAGTATAGATTCAAAAGGAATTTGTAAACGGGACAACTTTAAATACACAAATGTGTCGTATATCCAAGCAAACCGAGACGCAGGGTCTCTTTGATGAGCTCCGACACTATAGATACATGATAATCGAAATGTCCCAAGTTACATATGTTACATTGCATTTCAATAAGTAATACAAAACACTCTGAAAAGACTGATAACATAATTCTCACATCCTGATGTAAATCACAACGTGTAAACGATATGTACAGAAAGCGGACTTTCGAAAATTGTATCTTACCCAGGGGTGAAAAGCCATGAAGCTTTTGACCCGTATGCCGTCTCTGAAGAACGGATATAGGTTTGCTGGCTTCGTTGGCGGAGGAACTACGCGTTCTTTGACGAGGTCCCACTTCGTCTTTGTTACTTTTCGAATTTCTCATCGCAGTCGTTATTACATCGTACATATTGAGCGCGATATTGTTATCTTCGACCGCCATCCAAAATTCGCCATCTCCAGTTACGGCGGATCGGCCGACTTCTATGTAGAATATATCATTCGCGAATCCACAACGTCTAATGTAATTTAGCTGCAAAAAAAAATAATTTAAAGATTGCATTATTGATTCTAATACGCTAAACGTCATATACATCTTGTTGACATTATTGAATCGACATAAATAATCTTTTTAATAATATAGTATATTATTAAAGTGCAGAAGTTTGTGAGGTTCCACGATGATAAGCTTTCCAAATAAGCAACATTATGACAGACGTTGAAACATGCAACATGCTTTCGCGGCTTAGTCTAAACAAATTTTTTCATCCATTACTCTCTATTACTATCAGAAAAACCGATTTAAATACATCTGAGATACTACTGTTGAATAAAACAACACACGATAGAACCTCACAGACTGTTACATTCTGTTATTATTAAATAATAAAACTCGTATAAATAGTCTTAGTATATTCTTTTAATTATATTTTATATAAACTTACAGAAATCTCGATAGAATCGGAATTATCCTGTGCCCCAATCTTCACTAAACTTAAAGTTTGATCGGTGAGGCATAATCTATAGGGCCCGTGAATATTCTTCCGTGCCCCTAGACCTCTCTTTTGCATCGTAACTTGCCATACGTGTTCTGAAACAAGCCATAAAGAAATATAAATCAATCTCATATTTGAACTACAAGAATAATTCATGCATCTAATATTTTATTGATAAATTATAACTATTTGGGTAAATACAATGTAATATATACATTTGCATTGCATAAATAAATATTTACAATAATAATTATATATTATATCTCAAATTTACCTTCATATATATGTAAAGACTATGCTAATAAAGATAAACAACAAATATTTCTTTATATTAAAATATTAGAAGTCCCAAATAATGTGCAATTTGAAACAAAGGCATTTTGTATTTATCCCACGTCACTTTTTGTTTTCTTTGTTTCCGGGAACACAAGAACAATTGCCAATGTTATTTTTACTTCAAGGCTGTATAATTCGCTTAAAATGTGGAAATAACGAAACAAGCGACGAAGCATTTCTTCATTGCATTTCTCTCTTTAATTTCATGCAAATTTAGATTCCTCAAGAACATGAGGAAATGTTTGAAATTGCAACATTAATCTTATATGGAATCAAAATGGATCAATGACTGTTTTCAATTAAACAAAAAAAAACCTTGCATTGATTGAAAAAGGGAGAAAGATAAAATTCGAGAAGAGAGATCGCACTCCTCAAAAGTCATCGATCGGAGATGTAAACAAATGTGTATGCGCGACCGAGGTTCCTTTTCCTTACATTACAGATTCCTACTCCGATTGATATATATAGATGCACGATAATCTCATCACCATTAAAAAAAAATTGATTACTATCCGTGGAAAACGAGATGATTCGTATATATGTGTATTTTTCATGTACAAGACGTAAGCAATAAACACATATGTCGCGAGATCGCATTTTTCACGCGATAGATCGACGTCTCGCGAAAGAGGCAGCGTCTTGGATGAATGCGTCAAGCGGAATTTTTCGAGAATGCCAATCATCCAGTTTTCCACACACAGCCGGCAATCGATCGTAGCGCGATCGGTCCTTTTCGCGATAGCGCGACACGCTCGGCGACGAGAGGAATGCCGGTCTCTAGAAGGCAGGAAAGAAGTAAAGAGACCTCGCAAGAAACCTCGGTCGCGCTCTTTCTCCCCCGCGCTCCCACGTCGCGCTCGCGAGCGGGGAATTTGAAAAGAGGCGTACTACTACGTTCGGGAGCAATTTACCGAATGTAGGCCGCGGCTGTTCCCCGTCGGGCACGTCCCCGCTCTGTAGCCTCAGCATCGCCTTGAGCCACTCGTCCAGCTCCTTCTCGCTGTCGAGGATCAGGCAGAAGCACTCGTCTTTGGTGTAAAGCGCGATCACGTGCTTGTGCTTGGTGTCGCCGCGCTTGTTGATGTTGAAGCAGCTGTGCAGGAGTATACTGCGCTTCGGCGGCTGCCTGTTCTCGAATTTCTTCTTGCTGTCGTAATACTCGAGGCAGGCAAGGCAGCCGGGCGCCTCGCCGCGCAGCACAAAGTATTTCTTCTTCATCGTCTTGAGCTTCTTCAGGTGGCCGCAGCGGACTACGGGCCCACCCGAGGGCGACGCCGGGCCCCTGCCCGAGGACATCGTCGGGATGACGATCGTGACGATCGTGATCGTCGTTGTTGTTGTTGTTGTTGTTGTCGTTGTTGTTATTGCCGTCGCCGTGTGGATCACGAACGAATCCCACACGAGTACGCGCGCACACACAAACGTTGGCCCCTACGCGTTCCTCGTATCATTCACATGGTATCCCAGCTATTATCGTCCCCGCTCGCTTCCCGCGCTCTGCTCGTTCCCCGTCCTTTCTCCTCGAGCATGCGAGGGGCAGCGTGCGCGTTTTGCGATTCGGTTCGGGGAGCAGCACGTCGTCTCGCACGTGCGCGCCTCGAGTTCTCAGCGCTCAAAGACCGCGTGATGCACGGGAGCGCGGAACTTCATGTTGTGGCGTCGCGAGAACGAGACTGAGGATTCTCACATTCGCGCGCGAAATGTCCTTCTCTGTCTCTTCTTTCCCCCCTCTCACTCTCTCTCTCTC